AACGAGGACCGGCAATTCGCGAGATTTGCCGAGATGCTGAAAAAGCTTGAGATCACCATGCCTTTCACAGAAGCCATCCTGCAGATGCCGTCTTACACGAAATTTCTCAAGGATATACTCACGAAGAAGCGAGTCGTAGAAAAGGAGACGGTATCGCTCAACACCGAATGCAGTGCGCTAATTCAGCATGAGTTACCGCCTAAACAAGCCGACCCAGGAAGCTTCTCAATACCCTGCAAATTGGGTAATGTCTCCATTGACAGGGCATTATGTGATCTCGGAGCCAGTGTTAGCCTTCTCCCGCTATCGATATTCAAAAAGCTGAATGTGGGAGAGTTGAAGCCGACAAGGATGGCGCTCCAGCTTGCTGACCGATCGGTGAAATATCCCGCTGGGATATTAGAAGACGTACCACTTAAGGTGGGAAACTTCTACGTACCGGTCGACTTCGTGGTGTTAGACATGGACGAGGACTCGAGAGTACCGATCATCCTTGGTCGTCCATTCCTTAACACCGCAGACGCAGTCATCCATGTAAGGGCTGGAAGGCTAACGATGAAGATTGGCGATGAGACAGTGGAGTTCACGCTTGATCAAAACCTCAAGCAACCATCTGTCATGGATTCTTCGTACTTCATTGACATGATCGAAGTTTTGACAGAGGAGGTGATCACTTGCGTGACGAGTCTTAAATTTGTAACCCGAAACACAACTAATCCGCAAGTATACGGATGTCGTAGTACCGGGGTCGAACACAAGGACTTAAGCGGCTAAGCTAGGAGTCGATCAAAACTAGGAAAATGAAAGAAATAAAATTGGAGAATTGTTTTTGTGGTTTTCAAAGTTGCAGAAAATTAAATGAGAGAAATAAAATCAAAGCAAGCAAATATTTCAAGAGAAGACGATCGATTGGAAACGGTTGCGGGAATCGGGTTTCACCGATCATGCAAGGATGCCGTAAAGGATTATGGACCTATATCATGCTCGTTCTAAGGTGAGGGATTCGAAGACTAAGGTCGGGTTCGGTTCTCTCAAACCGAAAACCCGCTATCCAAGAGAGCTCTCTAGCCATTTTCATGGTCTAGAGTGAACCCCCGAATGCATTACGTTCACTTGTCATAATCCTAGATTTAATTGAATCGAATTTCTTCGGATTCAATTTCAACCCAATTGATTGAATGCATCAAGAGACCAAGAATCCATGTCTCCATGTAATTCACAATCCTAAAATCTACCCACAAGATTCTCATCCAATGGGTAACATTAAATACCATTCAATCAACCTCTAGCAATCAAAACCCAAGCAATTGCATCATCCAATTGAACAAATCCAAGGTTCCTCTAAGCATTCATTCAAGAGAGATAAACTTTCAAGAACACAAATTTCATTCAAGACAAGGAATTGAAAGCATAAACAAAGCATAATCTAGGGTCCAAGGTGAATACAAGCATCCTTACATGAGGGCTAATCCCTCTTCCCACAACAAGAGACTACTCACTACACATGTTCAAGAACAAAGCAAAACAAGAGTAAAGTGCAGAAATCATAGAGAGAGAGTAGAGAGATGCTCAAGGAATCTTCAATCTTCAATGGAGTCTCCTTCTTCTTCTTTCTCCTCCAAGAGCTCCCCTTTTCTCTCCTAAGGTCTCTATTTTCGGCCCCCAATCAAATCTAGGGTTCTCCTCTTCGGTTCCCCCTCAAAAACCCGAAAAGAATGGCTAAACGGCGTAGCTTTCGTGGAGTCTGTCAAGTGGACCGTCCGTTCCAGGTTAGTTAAGTTCGTCAGACCGTCCGTTCCAGCTTCGCAGACCGTCCATTCTGAAACGCAGAACGTCCGTTCCGCAACG